CCTCCCGCCGCCGCGTCCGCTCGAGCACAGAGGCGCGCGCGGTAATTTGCGCAGTCGATAACTGAACGAAAACGGGCGCCCGCAGATGAGCGCCCAAGTATTTGTTTCCGATAATTGCGTTAATTGAGCAGCGAAAGAGAGCTTCGGGTGCGCGGGCGCAGGAGGAGGGGGGCTGAAGCGCGCGCGGTTCCGCTCCGATGCCTCCTCTGCCCCTCCTCCCTCCCCCCTCGGTCCGGCGCTCACCGGGTGCGGCTGCTGCTCGCCACGTGCGCTCCTAGGCCAGCGCCTGCCGGCAGCACGTACTTCATATATTTTTTATTAAATATTACACAATATCAAATCGATAAGCCATGGTATTTATCTGGTCCATTTATTAACCTACGCCGAAGACTGACAATGTATATGCTGTTTTTGTAGCCTTCTGCAGTGTTGCCCTGAAGAAGCTTCCGGATTTAGGGGTTAAAACTCTCGCCGTTCAGCTGGGACGGCGTGTGGTCTGTCTGGGCGGTGTGTGGTCAGACCCAAAAATAAATGTGTGTTCAGTTTTCGTTTTTTCTACTGTACTTTTGAACTTGTGAAGTGGTCAGAGGCAACTACTTCATACTGTTTAACGCATATAAACAAGCCAAAGAAAATAAATGTTAACCGGTAATCGGATTCATCAGCAAAATTTACTTGTAATACAGAAACGTTTAACTGACATGTAATATGAGTAATCTTCTGGGTAAATTCTATGAATTTTCTTTCTATTAGCTATTAGTATTGTTCATTATATAATAATAGCTAAATGCCATTGTTTATAAAATAATTATAATTGCAGACACTTGTTTAAATGTATATTCTTAGCTTTTAAGATACAAATGAATTAACTTACAGTCTAGTGAATCATTCGTTGTGAGTTTGAATTTAATCAGGTTAAAATTTGTTTACTTTGCACAGGAATACTGCAGAAGCATCATGACCCATTTACTACAGCGCTAGACTTTTCAAAGAGAGGTCACGTCAAAAATAGTCTCACTAGAGATGAGTACTAAGATGTATACTGCAACAAGAACGACCAGAATACAAACTCTCTGCCTTGCAACGGAGTTAGTCAGGATACGTGAGCCGTTCATTTCGTATCGTAATATTCGCGTGGAAAAGGTGCAAGAAATTAACCCTTCGATAGTAGACGCACGATTGTCAATTTTCAGATAAAGAACTCAAAGGTTTCGAAATCAAATTAATATTGTGCGCTAAACCAATATTGGAATTTTGGCTGTGTCTGTGATGCACATCTCAAATCACGTTTCTCGACCAGTTTTTCTTGATAGAGTGAGCAAATTTTTTGAGATTGTGTTTTGTTTTGCTTCTGAACACCTAGTGTTAAAGCTCCCTTCTCCAGAGTTAAGTAAGATTTGTAACAGTATTTTTGACATTGAATACATCAAACCGTACGATATAATATATTTTTGTTCATGTCGAGTTCGTCAGTGGAAGAGTATGGTCGCGGACCGCACGTTCAGTGTTTCCCTTTTCACAATGTCTACATCGGTTCCACTGTCGTCTGCTTCAAAATGCAATTTTCTGTCAAGATGCTCAGAGCCAATGAGTTTGAGGAATGAAATACGGGGCATGATGATGTGAAATTGAGATATTGAAGGCGAAAGGAAATTTCTAAGTGTGCCGTTATAAGATACAATGCTAAATTAAGCATCTTTATTGTGTTATATGACAAGGATAAGGACCCCAGCATGTTGAGGAGGTGACATTAGATATACTAATGATTACAATTCCTTCCACATTAGTGTTTGCAGGACCCAGACGTCTGTCACAGGATTCCGTCAACATTAACGCTATGCCCTGAACTTTCGTTATAAACCTCTTTTATTTTCTCTACAACCCCATCGCCTAGTGTCGTAGTTCTTTCAATTTCTATATCAGTTATTTACCAAGGCATTCAATGACACACTTTTGTTAATCTTTTTTATCACTAAGGAAAGAATTTTCATATAAATAAAATTTTAATATTACAGAAACAAGATACATACATTCAATATTGTTTTAGGATTTACAAGTCATTCTCAATGAAATAGAGCCATATTTATTTTACATGTTTTACCTATTACTACATATTTCTTATATTTTTGGTTACATTTTAATGTATTTATACGTTTGAACAGAAGACTTCATTTGCGATTCAATGTAGTATGTTGCAGGAACCACCCTTCTTACAAAACAATGTAACAATACAGCCCTTCTATGACCACCGGACAATGAATTTTACTTACTTACTAACGAATATTTTTTACAGATCATCGTCTTATCACGTTGTAACTTTCAGGGAGGGGGGTACTTTCCCTTTGACCTCTCCTCTGGGATCCATCACTGGCTGTACGATATTACTATTCCCTTAAGCACCGGCTCCTTGCAAACAACACTATATTTTACGATCGCGTTTTACATATCGAAACAAACTCTCATGTGTTGTGATGACTAGCGTATGGGTATAACAGCCTTTCAGCAGCTCTGAATTCATGTTAAGATCCAAATGGCAACGTTCTGTGTGTAAAAAAGCTTGTATAGTGCGATTTTGATATTTTTTTTATTTTCCCTTACACGTTTTGT